CTCCTGCTCGAGCTGGCGTGGGAACAGGCCAGAAATAGCCTGTTCCAAAACCCAGTTTTCGTGCCTGAATCTTAGGGCAGGTCGAAACAAATGAGGGCCTAAAAATAGCCCAGGGCCTAAGAATAGCCCTCCGTTTCAGGCTGGAAAAACTCTGGGTCTGAAAGACCCAGAAATAGGCTGAAACGGAGTAGGGCCTGCAGGCCCTCGTTTTTCAGTTTTCAGGCTGAAATGACCGGGGCGTGTAGCTCCTAAGTTTTAGGCTTTAAGGCTGAATGTCCGGGACGGGTCCTACAGGGCCCGTGTGGCTACGCAGTCTGCCACAGCAGTTCAAACCTGTTTTCTGTAGTAATGTCATCTGCCACTTGTGTTGCTTGCTTCAGATTTCTCAAATGCTTATGGTGGGCCAACCTGATCTCTGCTTCAATTGTCCTTCCCCATTCCAGTTGCTCCACCTCCTGTATCCACTGTTCCAGAGTCAAATCCCCCTCCTCTGGCATTTCCTGGTCTGATTCTTCTTTCGTAGAATCCTCTGGATCCAAGTCCTGTGAACCGTCCCGCTGGTCCTCCTCCACTTGCAATATCTCCTCTTCGGTCATGTTTTCTATGTTTTTCATCCCCTTTCTTCTTTCCTCCCTTTCCTTCTTTTCCTTATCAGCAAGCAATGGTGTGGAATCATCCTGCGACCCCTCCTTGCCCTCCCCCTCCTTTCCTTTCTCTCCCGACCCCGCCGTGTCATGCGTAGCTTCCTCTCCTGATTTGGCTGTTGTGCTCCCTTCCACTGTTGTGCTCTTATGTTGTCTTTTTGTTTTCTGAGCACCTCCTCCTTGGCTATCCGTTTCTTCTTCTTCCCCCGACGACTCCTTCCTTTTTAGTGGTTGTCCGCTTCTCCCCGTACCTTCTCCCTCCTCCCCTCCACACTCCATATTTTCTCCCTGCCCTTCACTCCCCTCCTCCATGTTGCTCCCAATTGGCTTCCACTGTTCCTGCTGCTGAACCCTTGCCTCTGCATTTTCCAGAAATGCCATTTCTGCGTTTTTCCCAACCTTATGAAGCTGATCCATGAGTTCCATTCTTTGCTGCTCGTACGCCATGATTGCTTCGTCCAACATTGGTTTGGTTATGTATCCTGTCTCCTTATCTTCCATTCTCTTTGCACCCATTTGCCTCCATCTGCTGTCGTATGGGGGGTAAATGTCTAGCTTGACCGTGGGGTCCTTCTTGAGTACCCACACCCACTTTGGATTTTCAAGATTGTCGTCAAATATCCACCCCCTATACTGAGGCAAATTGACGTACCATACCCCTGGTTTGCTTTCACATTCTTGGAGCATCGACTGTCTCAGCTGCAACTGCTTACCCCCCGTCTCTCCCTGTGGACAGGAAGTTCCCAAGTGACCTCTTCCTCTGAATTTGAAGCAGAAGGGGTTAGTTTTGGACGATATAAATACTGTGATCCTATGTCCACTCTTTCTGAAAATCCACTGATCAGGAAACCTAGCCGGAACCCCCGATTTGACCTCCAAACACGCCACCCGGGAATCGTGGTTTGGGGCTAAAAAATCAGGATTTGTCGGGAGCCAATCAATAACTGTGTTGTTGGGAAATTCCTCCTCTAGCCTTTTGTGGACGAAGCTGTGCATACCCTATGACAGGTTATCGAATTGGACCCAGAAATGGTTTCTCATCATTATCTGTCTGTGCCTCGATGCTTCAGCCTGTGGGGGGCATGGTGGTTTCCACGCTTGTATGGAAACCACTGCCCCCTTGCATTTCAGTGATCCGATAGTTAGCAAATACTGAGCGTACGTTGGATCCACACAGACAATCATAACAGCGTACCTGCCCCTCTTATGATAACAGACCTCTGGTTCCCTTCCCGGAATACTTTCCATTGCCCTCAGCCTCTCCATAACCCATCTTCTCTTTTCGTTCAGGGATAGTTCTCTGCTTCTTCCTGAGAAACTGAATATTACCGCATGTTTCTCATAAAGTTCATTTAGTGCATTCCCATACCTCCACTTCCTCTTCCTTCCCTCCTTCTCCCTTGATTGTTTCCTTTGTCACTTTGATTTCTGCTTTGATTTCTGTCTTTTCCAGTAAGAAGTTCATTGCCTTCTGTCCCAGTGTCCTCGACCCTGCGTCACTCCCTTTCGAGTTCGTCCCTGTTTGTGAGGTTGCCTGAGAAGAGCGATCTCCATTACCCTCCCCCTATTTTGGGCTGAAATCCCGCTTTTCCTTTTCGCTCATTGCCTTTTGACCAGCAGCCGAATAGGACATGGCCATCTCTTCTTTTACTAGTTTATCTCCTTCTCTCCTCCTTATCCCTTCCCAATGTCCGGACCCCTTTCTGGACCCTTTCTCTTTCCCTTTAATATCCAACGATTTCCTGCTATTTCTTTACTTCGACAAGTCTTTTCAACAGGAGCGTCAACAGGTCTTTATAACCGGAGCGACCTCACCTTGTGTTGGCCCTCCTTCTCCAATACCGTGCGGCGCACAACTGGCGTGACGTTCCCCTCCCCCGTTACCTCTCTCACTTCTCCCCCCTCCTTGTTTCCCTCCCCCCTCCTTCTCTATTCTTGTTAGTCTTTGATCTTCTCAATCTATTTCTTCCCCGCTCTTCCACTCTCTTCCCTCACTCCTTACTCTCCCTCCACTCCTTGTTTCCCTTCCCCCCTCGTTCTCTATTCCTGTTATCTTTCGATCTCCTTTTCCTCCCCTTTTACCGCTCTCTAATGCTTTCTCCTCCCCACTTACCACCCCGTTCCCTTTTCCCTCACTTTCTCTCCCCCCGCGCTTCCCCCCACTCTCGGTACGCCTCTTGCGATTCTCCTTTCCTTATCCTCCCCACTCCCTTTGTTCTCGCCCTTACTCCTCCCCGCTTGCCTCCCTCTTTTCCTCCCCCCTCGCTTTTACTCCCCACGCTTTCCTTACCCGCTCACGCCTCCTTACGTCGATCGCTTCCTTTTGATGATGACGGCCTATCTGTGCGCGTTTTCGTTATTAACCTTCGATCGCCTTCTCCTCCCCGATTACCATTCCAGATCGCTTTCTCCTTCCCTCTTACCACTCCTTTCCCTTTCCTCTCGCTTCCTCCCACTTTACGCTTCTCCCTCTTCTGGATACACCGCTTACTGTTCCCTTTTCCTCTTCCTTATCCTCCTCACTTCCTTTGTGTTCGCCCTTTCTCCCTCCCGCTTGCCTCTCTCTTCCCTCCCCCCTCCCTTCTTTGCACCCCCCGCTTCCACTATCCGCTCCCTTCTTCTTACCTCTAGCGTTTCCTTTTGATACTGTCGCTCGATATGCGTATGTTTTCAAAACGCACTTGTTTCCGGAGCGTTTTGAAATGGCCGCGCTTCTCTTCCCAAGCTGTCCGGATTGTAGCGTAAAACACCTTTTGATGTTGTCGCCCGATCTGCGGACTCGATTGTAGTTGTGCGCACTCCGCTTAACGTTGTGGTGATGTCGCCCGATGCCGACCCGATGAGTATGATCGATTCCCTCCGGCGCATACGACAATATCTTCGCCTCCTTTTCCTTATCTCGAGGTGACTTGGTGAGTACGGCAATGGCCGAGAAACCGCTCCCGATGGTGATTTCGTCTGAAGGCGACTCTGTGTATGCCCTCAGCGATGGTAGGGGAAAGCTCTCTCAGCGGTGCAAGGGAAAGTCGAGAATCCGCTTCCGATGGCGAAACAGTGTATGTTCCCTGCAAAACCACTATGGCGGCGTCGACATCAACACTTAGAACAAGATTCCGCTCCGAATGGTGGTGTTGCTGGAAGGCGACACGGTGTATGTGCTCAGTGAGGTCACTATGGCGACGTCATCATCAACTCGAATCGCGGTTATGGTGTCCGCCACCCCCCGACGAGCTCACGCGTAGCGCGTCGACCCGCTCCCGCTTAGCGCCCTCGCTTAGCGCTGCGCTACCCCTTCGGCGCAAACGCTCGCCTCCGCCGGCATGTGCCCATTCTTGTTTTTCGAACTTTTTCCTTTTCCTCTTCCTTTTCTTTCTTTTTCAACTTTTTGTTTTTTTTCCCGATTTTCTGTGTTTGTGGGTTCCTTTGTTGAGGACAGGGGACCCTCTGGGACTCACAGACCAGCTCACTCCTATGTGAGTTCGAGCTCCTGACGGACGGACTGGCACTAAATGAGGACAGGGAACTTCCGAGGAAGATTCTACTTGAGCGCAGTACAACTTCCAACTCGGATCTGAAAAAAAATTAGTGGATGGTTGTTTTCTGACTGGTCGGCCCTACTGGTCGGCTGCAATACGGTCGGCGGTCGGGGTCGGCGGTCGGCAGGGATGCAACCATGGTCCTTGCCCCGGCGTTTTGTTGGGCCAATTTTTGTTTTCTTTTCAGTTTCATGCTGATTCGAGATAGTGTCTCGTGTCCTTCGCCATCCACATCAGACTGCTATGTACTTGTACTCAAACAAAACCAGAGTGGCACGTATTTGGGCATCCGGAAACTTTGGGCGCGTGGAGAAAAAAAAACACGCGCCACAGGACACACTGAGTGAAACTGCGGCCCCTTGGCGATACTGCCCCCTAGTGGTTTCTCTTGGCCAGGTACAGCACATTGTAGCACCTGATGGTTTCTCTTGGCCAGATACAGCACACTGTAGCACCTGCTGATGACGCACCCGAAAGACCCTCATTTGTCATTCAAGGGCGTGCCCACTTACCCGTCCGTCCGGTCTTTCATTTTTGAAAGTTGGCTTTTTCCGTGTCGATGGAATGCGACGACTTTCCCGGGCGACGATCGCAAGACCCAGTGTTACATGCTGCGCCTGAAACGAGGGCCATTTTCAGGCCCCATGTTGTTTTCAGCCTAAAAGCCTTAAAACAAGGGCCTACAGGCCCTGTGTCGTTTCAGCCTGAAAGCCTGAAAACAAGGGCCTACAGACCCTGTGTCGTTTCAGCCTAAAACAGGGCCCTCCAGGCCCCGAGTCTTTTCAGCCTGAAACAGAGGGCCATTTTCAGGCCCTCATAAGATCGACCTGCCCTGAAACTTAGGCACCAGACCAGGGTTTTAGCACAGGCCATTTTGGGCCTGTTTTCAAGACAACCTTTGTTTGAGCTTCA